AAATTCTTGCTTACCTACTTTCCTAATTACACGATCTGCTAAATTGAGTATTATAATAGAGTAAGCCATTCCATCTAACTCTGCCCTCATTTCTGAAGGAACTTGAGCTACATGATCCGGTTCAATTGCTCTAATTATTCTTTGAGTGACTAAAATGCTTCTCATTTTTTGTTTCCAAATTGCAAAATCCATTTTTCCATCATGGGTGTGTTTGTTTGAGGGTTTGGATTTTGAGTTGGGATTTGAATAGTAAAAATTTTGAATTTGAATAGTTGTATGATGTGATATAAATAGAGTTTGATGTGATGTTTTGAATATAAAATTGATTTTTAGTATAATATAAAAAATGAAAAATAGGTGTTTGATTTGATGTTTTTGGGGGGAAAAAATTGGATGAATAGTGGAAATCCACCAAAATCCTTCAAACAAACACACTTTAGAAGAAAATATAGTAAAACTCGAGCTACCAACCATTTTTTATTTTTAATAAAAACATATTTTAATTTTTTTTTAAAAAATAACAGATTCTGTTAAACAAAAAAAATTCAGAAAATTATTTATTTAATTTTCACACAAAAACAAATTATTTTGCAAGAAAGTCTCATGAAAATAAACAATCAAAGATTATCACAAATAATCAAGCAATCACAGCAAGCAATTTAAGCAATAAAAAATATAACCTATCTATTACAACATACACTTGTGACTATTCAACCGAAGTACTCGAGAATCACTCACAAAATGAGGATCGGAGTTTAGTAACCTTGGTTTCACAATAGCCTTTACAATTTTATTTTTGGACGCAAAAATTAAATGCAGAAATTTGAACCAATCATCCAAAAACAATAAATATTAGGAGTTTAAGGGGTTACCCTCGTAGCACAGCAACAAACAATTTTTATTCCTACAAAACAATAAGAAAAAATTCACAGTAAACAAAAAACCTATTCTCTTTTATAGAAAATAGGGATTAACCAAACTTTACTAAATTTACAAAAACAGAAAACTAACTTAAACTTTTGTTTCTCTTCTAACAAATTGTTAGAATCCCCGAAACTGATTGTGATTTCACAATGTCGACTTAAAGAACAAACACAAAATGACAAGGCTTAAAGATTTAAAGATTTCAAACGAGATTTTAGTTTGAAAAATATAAAGATCTTTCAAAAAGTTTACCAACCTATAAAGTTTACAAAAGACTTTTGTATTTTGACTCCAAAGAACAGATCTATACAAAACAATAACTATTTACTCGATTTACACATTTTATTTAAAAAGTGTGAAATACAAAACTCGTTTTTGTTAAAAGATAAAACGGTTTTGTAACAAACTAACCAAATCTAGTGTCAAAACTTAACCAACTACACAGATATGTAGCGATTAAGTCGCGCTCAACACAAATCACACACGACCGAGGCTAAAAAGCACAGATCGAGTGAAATTTTGGCCGGTATCTAATAGATCTACTAGGAAAAGAATCAAAACGCCAAAAATCATTCGATTCAACCAGATCCTTTTGTAGATCTAAAGACTTACAACCAAAAAACCTCAAAACCAAAACAAATAGTCGATTTCGAAACCGTAAAGCACTAAAAGGCTCTTATACCACTTGTAATATAAAAATGCGGAATAGATCGAAAAGTTTATTAACGAAATCGAGTAAAAACACAAATATTAGACTAGTTTTGGTTAGGCTCAGCCCCTAACCACTCAAAACTAATATCAACACTCTAAATACACACTTACTAGCGACTAACACGAACGACCGGCCCAAGAGTTCGAACTACAAAAGGAAAAATAACCCCACAGACAATACAACAAGGCTTAAAGAAGCCTACACAGTTGAACAAGCCCTTTTCGGCTATGAACAACACAAATCGGGGCATATACGTGCCTTACAGCCTCCACAAAATATACAGGAGGTAAAGCACCAACAGAAACCGTCGCAAACCGCCGTAGAAAGGATGATATGGAGAGTGTTGGGTGAGGCCAGAGAGAGAAAGAGTGGTTTGAGAGAGAGAGCGTGAGTATAGAGAGAGAAAGAGTGGAAAGTGTAATATTCTGCGTCTCTCATCTCTCTGGATATATATATACATGATCAAAAAAAACCAACGGCCAGGATCAAGGATCAAGATCGGATGGTCAACGCTACACCTCAAAAAGACGCGGAGCCCCGACGGGTCAGGATCAAGAGGGACGCGGATCCAGCTTGCAGTTTGGGTAGTAAATTGTGGGTGTAGTTCGTGGGTCCGGGCCAGGGTCAGTTCGGTCTGCATAATATGTGTGCGAGTGTTTTATATAGGGTGTATCTAATTGGATCAAAAAATCCAACAATTACAAAATTGACGGGCTAGCTGACCTAGACACAATACAATGGAAGTGAATTTCAACATTCTCAAATTGGTACAATTTAACTATATCAACGGTTCTTAATTCAATATATATATTTTAAAAAAACATAATAAAAGAAAATAAAATGTTAGATGAAAAAAAGAAACACAACTATGTACAATTAAATACAACCGTGTATAATTATATATGATCGTATTGTGTCCAGGTTAGTTGTCCCGTCAATTTCGTTATGTCTACTCAGCAATATAGGTTAATATTTGATCGGTGGGACCAAAATTGATTGAAATTATTTATGATGAAGCTAAAATTGATAAAAAAAATTTTATTATTTTTTCTATTAAGATCAAAATTGATACTTTTAGTTATATTGGAACTACTATTGATTTTTTTTTTTCTTAATTATTTGTTGTCCATCTACCAACACTACAGTGAAAGAATCTGATGTCAGTTACAAAATTTTGTGGCAGGCGATTGGCATATCAATTATCCGTCGAGTCGAGTTACAACCAGGTTCTCGAATCATAGTTGTTTTGCCTCGACAAGAAACAATTTTATTGTCAATAAAACATTCATTTATACTTGTGGTGATCACATCGGACATTATAAAATTGTTGGTTATTGCCCTTGCAAATATCTTTCCAAAATAAAATTGTAATAAATAATTAAAAGTAAAAGACCTTGTTCGAAAACAAAAATCATAGAGGAACGAAGAATGTTTGAACAAGTAATCCAAGAAAGAATCTCATGCGGACAAGAGAGCAAATCGAAATTTGAATCAAACATGAAAGTGAATGAAATAATTTGTCTGCCCAACAAAATTTCGTCCGATATGATTCCCAAAATATATAATATATATATATATATTCTTTTATGTAAAAAATCAAACATTTAACACAAATTATCATTTTTTTAATACAAATCTTCGTACTTCACGTAAAAATTACTCAAAACTAATATACTAAACATACAAGCTCATAAGTATTAGACATAGGTATATACACGTTTTTGTGTAAAGAATGTTGTATACAAGTATATTGTAAAATATGTTGATTAATATTAAGTGATAAACTAATGAATATCAAATTAAAATAAAATACACATTGTTGATTGTTGACATCATATCTTTAATTGGTAAATCTACCAATATAATTTGCAAAATTTCTTAATTCCGAAATGCTTTGGCTAGTGTAATAGGTTGCTCTCTCTGTATCTATTTTCCCAAAAAAGCCATTCCTCACTATTGACACCTAAACTAGCTTAACGTAACAAACCCTTAACTAAATAATTGGGCTAAGGGTTAAAAATATGGGTTTGGGTTAATGGGTTAAAGGATTTGGGTTTTGATTTAGGGGTTTGGGCCGATTTTGGTGGGTCGGGCTAAAAAATAGGACAACTGTTGTATTATCGAATGACCAGTTATGACCGAAATTTCCAACATTTATAAATTGAATGTTAGTTAATATATTTAATTTAAAATACACAAATTATATTGATTTGGGTAAAATTCGTTTTTTTTTTTGTTTTTTTTATCCATTTTATTTGTATGTGCTAGTTTCAGTTATTATATTATTAAAACGATAATTTTGATCCCTGTTTAGTCCCGCAATTTTTAAAATAATATTTCGATCCCTTATCAATTAATATGTATCAAATTTAATATTTAATTATCATTTTTTCGAAAAAAATTAATAGATATATTAATTATATACATTATGGTATAAATAGACTATCCTTAAAAAATTGTTTTACATAAATTTTTTTATGTAGTATCTATTAATAAAAGATGTATATGCACTATATTTATTGTACTCTTATTTACAAAAAGAAAAAGTATTTTTTTTCTTATGCCAATAATTTAATTAAGACTAGGAAGTAGCTAGCAACTATGTTGTTTTAGCGGATAATTTTTAAATTGCATGTTTAAGACTTGTTTGAAGAAAATGTTAGTGTAAAAATATTTGAAAAAAATTATATAAATTAGTGTAAATAATGAAAAACAATGATACTTTCAAATGAAAATCATAAGCTACCTCAATTACAAAAAATAAGCTCGGAATTTTTTAGAATGAATTTTAATGTGTGTATTTATTTTTTTTTACTTAATGATTTTTTCTATAAAATAATTTTATGCGAAAGAGGTAGTAATAACTATACTTATTAATTTTTTATTTTATAGAAAACAATAATTAAAAACTAAAATTAAACTAATGAATGAGAGATTAAAATTATCATTTTAAAAATAAAGGGATTAAGATGAATAAAAGGGACCCAAAATATATTTTATCATATTAATTTGTATAAAATAAAATATTATAATATATATATATATATACATGTGATAATAGTCATAATTTTTTATAAATTGAGAATTGACTTTGCAATTTTATTGATAGTATTGGATAAATCATGAGTTTGAATTTGAAATAGAGAATTAGAGAGGGAATATAGGTAAACTTACTATATATAGATAAACAAGGAGTGAGATTCTATTTGCATTTCTCTCACTCACACTCTCTCTCTCTATATATATACATATACATTGCCAACTATAATTAATCCTTTCATCATTTCGATATCTAATAGGTTCTTTTACCCTTATTCTTTCGAATTTACTTCTTTCTTTCTTGTATTTTTTTTGTAGTGAAAAGATGATGCATGGACAAAATCTCGCCCGTACCGTCGTCGGTATCGTTGGTTAGTGCTTCTTCCTACATTGTTTGTAATGGTTTCGAATCGTTTCGATGTTGTTTTCATGTTTTGTTGCATTCTTGATCTTAGGGTTTTCGATTTTTTTTTTTTTTGAATTTTAAGTTATGTTTGATGAGTGATTATTATTTTAGTTTGTTTAATTCTGAGGACGATTTGTGGATCCAGTTCATACTTGTTGGATTTGAATTTTATTATTTAAATTAGAATATATAGTTTGTCTATATTATTTTAAATAATATATTTGTATTTGATCTAATATTTTTTAGAACTAAAAAAAAAACTTGGCATTTTTTATGTCATTTTTTTTAAAATTTGTTTGTTAATTAGGGTTTTGTGTTTTTCAAATATTCGTTTTGGAGTTTTGTATTTTGAAATTAACTGCTAATTAGGGTTTTTTTTTTTTTTTTTTTTTGAAGTGTTCATTTAGGGTTTTTGTATTTTGAAATTGTTAATTTCAATATAGGAGGCTTTCTGCAATTATTTTTTCTAATTTTTTTTTTGTGTAACATGATAAAAAATTTAACCTCACTTTTGAGTGATTTTTTGCTACGAAATTTCAGGGAATGTTATCTCGGGACTACTCTTTCTCTCTCCATGGTAAATTACATTTATAATATTGCTTATAAAAAGTTTTTCAATATTCATAAATTTTAGACCATAATTTTTGCATTATAATTATATTCACAATCATATTTTATTTTGAACTCTATTATCTATCCATTTTATTTTTATCCAATTATATAGAGCATATTTAGTTATCAACCTTAATAAAATATATAATATATTTATAAAAAGATATATAATAAAAATTTAATTTAACTATATTTCAAATTTTGCATTATTCTAATGAATATTTGAATTCTTAATTAATATTATTAATTCAATCTTTATATGGTTAGATTTTATAATAGAAAGATGAACTTATACCTCTATAAATATTGTGAAAATAATATGAAAGATTGAGAAAAGTAATTTCTATATTTTTGCTTTTCTATTTTCTTACATGTCTATTCTTACTGTTCATTTACATACGATAAATTTTATATTCAAAATATCGCATTAATTACGTTGAGCATTAATTACGTTGAACTGTCGAATTTGTAGCCCGACGTTCTGGAGAATATGTAAAAAGAAAGACTCGGAGGAGTTCCACCCTTATCCATATCTGGCCTGTGTAATGAACTGTCTCTTCTGGATCTTCTATGGCTTACCCATAGTTCATCCCGACAGCACTCTCGTCATTACCATCAATGGCGCTGGTCTCTTTCTCGAGCTCTGCTACCTCACCATTTTCTTCTTCTACACTAACAAGAAGAACAGGGTAAGTTATAACATCGATATCAATGATTTTATTACAGCTAGCATCGAGGTTTCAGTTTTTTATTACATAGATACTAATTGATGAGATTGATTCACCAGGGGATCATAGTGATGTTCTTGTTGGCCGAGTTTGCCCTTCTTGGCGCGATTGCCGCAGTCACGCTTTTATGCTTTCATACCCACGCGAAAAGGTCGATGTTTGTGGGCATTATTTGTGTCGTGTTCGGTGTCATTATGTATGGCTCCCCACTTTCCATCCTCGTAAGTAAAATTTTCCCGTTACATTTTTTTTAAAAAAAAGAACGATAAATTTAGTTAGATTTTCGTTTACACAACACTATAAGAAAGTTGAAATTTAACTACAAAAAAATTCGTAGCAAATGGTGATAATTCATAGCAAAAATAATTTTGCTACGAAACTCATTTCGTCGCCTATACGGCTATAGTAAAGGTCGTTAGCGATAAATATGACTTTCGTAACAAAAAATAAATTTTTTTGTAATGAAAATTAAGAATAGACATATAGCTACAAAAATATGATTTCGTAGCTAAAATTTTTTTGCTATAAAATTTATAATAGAAGAGTTTTAGCAACAAAATATGTATGATTTTTGTAGCCAAATAAATTTAGCTATGAAAAATAATTTTGTAGTTAAAACCTTTTTTATATGAAGATAGATTTCTAGCAAAAAAAAATTTAGTGACAGAATTAATTTTGTAGTACATAATTTATTTTAAGTCGATAGAAATTAATTTTTGTTGATAAATGATACATTTTAACTAGAAAAATATTTCGTAGTTAAAAATATTGTAGCTAATTAGATATTTTTTTGTAATACTAGTATATGTGTTGTATTAAAGTCAATGCATGGTAGGATACGTTCTGTGAAATTATGTCATATATTACATTTGTATTATGTTAACATAAATTATGTTTATTACTATATTATATGGGCATAGATCATGTGCCGATGTATAAATTACTTCGGCATATGCTAAATACTATCTCAACTTTTAATTTACATCTAAGAATTTTAATTAAACAACAAAGTATCTAAATCAATGGTTAGAATGACATTAGGCAATGCTGAATTTAAAGATTCAACATGCTATCCTGTCTGATATTGTATATATATATATATATTTTATATCATGTGTTGGCAGTATTGTATTAGTCATGTCACTACAAGAAAATATCATTTTTATAATGAAGTTTTTTCGTTTAGAATTGCGTTAGATACTTAAACTTTAGGGACGGAATTCCGTTACAAATATACTATTTTTTATAATATGTCCTTTCTATGGTAGGGATGTCAAATTATTACATTTTTATCCTTTTTTTTTTTTTATTTTTCCGAATAGAGGCAAGTGGTGAAGACGAAGAGTGCGGAATTCTTGCCGTTTTGGCTATGCTTGGCTGGCTTTGCCAATGGCATTGTGTGGTTTACCTATGCTAACCTCAAGACTTTCGATCCCTACATTGCTGTAACATTTCTCTCTTCCTCTCTATCTCTATCTCTATCTCTCTCTCTCTCTTTCTCTCTCTCTCTCTATATATATATATATCTATTTGGATTGACTAGTGTATATATATGTGTGTATATGTGCAGACTGCGAATGGCATCGGCGGCGTATTGGGTTTGATCCAGCTGTGTGTGTACAGTTATTACACATGGATATACCCCAAGTTCTGCTCCAAAGACGACAAGCCCGCCGAGGTGCAGCTGCAGCAGCAGAACACAGCCTCCACAAATCGCCCCCAAGTGTAGTTTAGTTTAGTTCGAGTTGATTTGGATCCATTCGCAGTTTTTTAATATGTTCTTTATTCGATCTTTCTTATTCCCTCTATTTTCTTTCGCCTAAACGTATATATCTTTCCATTTTTCTTTGTCCGGCGTCAATGTATATATACTCCCTCGGTCCCAAAAGAGACGTCTTATTGGGTGTTGGCACGAGAAATAAGGAATAATAGTATTTAATTGAAAGTGGATATAAAGTATAATATAAAATACTAAAATAACCTTATTTTTTTAAGGATTTTAAAAAGTAGGTTAGAGTAATAATTATGGATAGTTTAGAAAAGTACGAATAATTTTGTTATAAAGTAGAACCACGATTACTAAATAAGGAAACATAACAACTCTTTTTGAGACGGGGGTATAATTTTTTTTAGTAATTGTGGATCTTACTTTTTCTAAAAATACTACCTTATCGTCGCATTAATTATGCAAAATTATCTTTATATTACTTTAATTTGGTACATAAATGTTGGTCTATTAGTGGACTCCACTTTGGACGCATTATATTAATTCAAAAGACTATTTAGATAGTCGAATAATTAATAAAATTACTTCAATCAACCAACAAAAGTTAATTAATAGACTTAATAGCTACTTCAAATTCCCTCTAGGTTATTGCACAAAATCTAAATGAAGGGGAAGGGTTCACACATAAAATATAAAAACATCTTTTATAGTTGTTGATTTTTAACAAAGATTGTTTGTAACTGAATTTTTGAATAAGAAATAAATGAAATAGTAATAATCTAAAATATATATGCGTGTATATAAAAAATGTAATTTTTTAATTAAATATTTTTTATTATTAACTCAGTATTTTTTACATTTTATTCCAATTTTCACATGGAGCATTATGTTTTTATTATATATGTTGAGACATGATCATATTCTTGGTATTACCACATTTTGATATGAAAATTTTGGCCACTTTTGTTGCTCCTTAAGTTCTGAGGTTTCTCCAACTTTTGATAGATTTTCAAGAATTAAAATTGATACTTCTAGTGTTATTAACTATAAACAAATTATTTAAGAAAGCAAAAAAGCAAATGAAATGTGTACTTAAAAGTAATTGCAAATTTTTATATGCAAATATATATACTGTAGATTATATAGGACACCTTATGTTTTTAGTAAAAATGCACAAAATATCCTGTGCGTGTTTTATTTATGGCGTGATACCCTCTTGAGTTAATGTAAAGTTTGCATGAACACCCTCATTGTCCAAAGTTGATGTTCGATTCTAAATAAAGACCTAAATTACGCCAATTTTATATAAATAAAAAAATATAAAATATGTTAAATAATTTTTTTGAATAAAATAAAGAATTAATTAATTCCTCATTTTATACTTTTTGAAGACAAATTGTTATATGATTTTCACAAAAATTGTAAAAATAAATTATTGATCAATTATTTATTTATTTATTTTATTCAAAAAAAATTATTTAAGATATTTTAAATTTTTTATTTTTATAAAACTTGCATAATTTAGGTCTTTATTTAGAACCGAACATTAATTTTGAACAATGAGGGTGTTTCGTGCAAATTTTACATTAACATAAAGAGGTTTCACGCAATAAATAAAACACATGGTGTTTTGTGCATTTTTACTAAAACACAATGGAGTGTTATATAATTTAACATATATATATATATATATATATATAGATATGTTTGAGATACAAATGAAATGTGTACTTATTAAAGTCATTGCAAATTTTCATATGCAAAATTATATATATATATATATATAAAATTGTTTGATTGTGTTTCAATTTGAAAGTACCATTGTTCAATTGTACTTCCTCCGGCCCAAACAAGGTGCAACATTTGTTTTTTGCACGGATTTTTAGGTGAATAGTATTAAGTATGATAATTTAGAAATTAGGTGATGTGATGGAGTGAGAAATGTATATATATATATTTTTTTATTTGGATGATGTGAGGGGATAAAGTGTGGATAAGAGATTAAGTATAATTAATTATTTCCTATTTTAGAAATGTTGCAGGGTGTTTGGGATATAAAAAAAAAAGAAATATTTCACGGTGTTTGAGACGGAGGGAGTACAATTTTTAATAAAAAAACAATATTATTTTTATTTATAAAATATTATATTCAAATATTATTTAAACTCAAATCAACATCTTATTTAAAATAATTTTCAAACCATAATACTTAAAATCTTGTTTTGGAATGAAACCTAGACAAACCATTTGCTGGCTCTTACAGTAGTGGCATAGCCATGTATTTCAATGGCTTCTCACATGGAAATAATGTAGGTAAAAAAATACTTCAAATAATGTGTTCTAAATAATTTATTAAAAATTAATAATAAAAAATAGTAATGTAAATAAAAAATAAAAATAAAAAATAATGACAATACTGTTATTATTTATTAAAATATGAATTATAAAATTTTCTATTATAAATAAATTTAAGAGAGAGCAAAAGAAATAAATAAAATAAAAATTATAGCAATGAATTACAAAGCAAGTGAGAGCATAAAGAGATGGATTGAAATAGGGTTGGGCTTAGGAGTGGTTATTCTTGACCCACAACTAAGGCCCAAATATTTTGGGAGTCCAATTTTATATACAAATAATATATATATATATATAAGCATTATAAATGTATATGTATTATTTTGAAAATGGTATGTTTTAATACTTTTTAAAATTTTTAAAATAAATAAAACTGATAATTATATAATTTTTTTTTAATTATTTATATAAAAATAAGAATTTGTTTTCATTTTTTTCACCCGGGCTCTTTAAAACTTATATGTTAAAATATAATTTATACTTCCTCAATCCCATAACAAAGTATTACTATATATCTAACATTTAGAAATACCTTTACAACTTATAATATATTATAAAAATATCATTACTTTTATATCACACATATTAATAAGATTATTTTAGTCATTTCTACTGTATTTCTACTGCATCCAAATATAATACTAATATTTCTAAAATTATGTGAAAAACAAATAGATATGAGTGAGTATATCTAATATATATATATATATATATGGCATAAAATTTAATAAAATAGATTATATAAATTTAGCTTACAAATCTTATCTAATTAATTTTAAGATAAGGTTCTAATAGATATTTTAAATGATATTAATACGAGTAAAAAAACATAATCCACATTTCTTAAAAGAGATGATATGATGTTGAATTATAAAATATTTTAAGTCACAATCTTCTCAAACTTTTAAAAAATATTTTAGCTTTATCATACATAAAAATATGGCAAGAAATCATGTAGCATATAAATGACTAATTTATTAATAATATATATATATATATATATATGGCATCAAATTTAATTAAAAAGATTATGTAAATTTTTCTAAAATTTAGCTTACAAACTTTATCCAATTAAATTTTAGGATAAGGTTCTAATAAATATTTTCAAAGATACTAAAACAAGTAAGAAAACATAAAGGGAAAAAAAATATCAAACATTTCTTAAAAAAGATGGATCAGATGCTGAATTAAAACATATTTTAACTCAAAGTCTGTTTGTTTGGGGGTTCGGATTTTGAGTTGAGATTTAACTAGTAAAAATTTTGAATTTGAATAGCTGTATGATGTGATATAAATAAGTGTTGATGTGATATTTTTTAATGTAAAATTGATTTTTAGTATAATATAAAAAATAAAAAATAGGTATTTGATTTGATGTTTTTGGAAGAAAAAAATGAGATGAATAGTGTATTTAAAATTCAATCCCCTAGACAAACACATCCTAAAAAAAAAAAAGAAAGTATTTTAGCATTTATCATACATAAAAATTATGGCAATAAATCATGTAACATAAAAATGACAAATTTATTATTAATTAATAGTGAAATGCAATAAATCATGATAAAATCATTATCGGATGATAACAGGGTGAGGCAATACCATATATGTATATTTTTTGGATGACGAAATTAAATGTCATGCTATGCTCCTTCTACCATTTTAGACTATTGATTTTTATTTATTTTCTTTAAAATAAATTAATTTTAAACGTTACACATTCAACTAATATTTTACTTGAGAAAAAAAAAAATTAAATATACAAAATAAAAGTAGATACACACTCTTTTTAGACATTTTATTTTATTTTTTAATAAAAAATAAAAAAAGGTTTATATATATATATATATATATAATATATACATAACTTGAGATCATGATTTAGTTGGTAATATGAATTTAGAAAGGAGATTTTAATGTATTTCAATTTAATAAATTTGAAATTGAATTCCTTAGTTGGATACATTGAAATTTGTAAAGATAGTTGAAATATTTGGGTAAACGGTTTTTTTAGTTCCGTATCTGAACCCTTATTATTTTAGTCCCGTAAGTGGAGCCTGTCGCAAACTAGTCAAATAAGTGAAATTTTTTTGCTGTTTTAGTCCTCCGGCACTGGAGACGCCTGTGTGGCTCGTCGGAAGTGACCTGTCCGCCAGGTCAGCGACACATGGCGGACACATGGATTTTTATTTTTTTTTAAATTTTTTTTAATTGGACCAAATAAAAAAAATAAAAAAATGCAAATAAAATTAAAAATAAATTAAAAATAAGTTTTAAAAAAAAATTGAAAAAATGAAATAAAAAATAAAAAATCCACGTGTTCGCCAGGTGTCGCTGACCTGGCGGGACACCTGGCGGACATGTCACCTCTGGCGAGCCACGCGGGTGTCTCCGGCGCCAGAGGGCTAAAACAGCTAAAATTTTTCACTTATGGGACTAGTTTGCGACAGGCTCCACTTGCGAGACTAAAATGATGAAAGGGTCCAGTTACAGGACTAAAAAAACACTTTACCCGAAATATTTTTTCTAAATTCATTGTGTTTGAACTAGTATGTAACCTATATGTGGAGTAATGTGATATTTAATTTGATTTTAAATTATAAATAATAAATTTCTTTTAACAATGCAATATATATAGAATATTGTCCCACACCGGTAAACATATAAAAATTTCACTTATTACTAATTGATTGATTTTAGGTTAAAAATTCGAATATCTTCTTAACAGTATATATATATATTTAAATTTGGATAGTAATAAAGGTAAGAAATGAACCAAAGGTAGCATAAAAATAAAAGATACAAAAGCATAATTAATTAAATTGAAGATTTATAGTAATCAATTGAAATATTTTTGGTCCAATGAAAATATTTTATCTAACACTACGGTGAGCAGGACAATCACTATCCATACTAATAAATATTTGTAATTATTAAATAAATGTTAATGTACCCAACTAATAATTATTGAGGTCCTACTCTTAAGGCTTAACCAATGGAAAATTACCTATTTATATCACTTGAGTTAATTAAAAACCATATATACACTCATAATTATCGCCACCAATAATAATAATAATAAGTCCCGTAAGAGATGACCTGGTAGTGTAGGGATTGGACTCATAACCGTGAGGTCATGGGTTCAAACCCCCGACGTCTCAGGTCACCTGCCATACATAGTTACTTTTCAGTCGGACCTGGTTTGTAGGGCATTAGGTTCGTGCGCACTTTCGGGTAGCGGCTACGAGTTAAAAATAGGGTAATTTGTTTTTTTTAATCTCCTATCAAATCCACTTTATCATTTTAGGATCTTTAAGTGGACCATGTTTGAAAATAGTCCCCTAAGTAAAAAAAATTCGCTAAAATAGTCCTCTGGTGCCGGACTCGCCACACTGACCTGCCATTGCTGATGTGGCAGTGACGTGACTGGCATGTCATCGCCACGTTAAAAGACTATTTTAGTGAAAATATTTTACTTGTAGAACTATTTTCAAGCAGAGTTCATATAAAATCCAAAAAATATAAAGAAGGTCATATACGAGATTTAAAAAATAATTACCAAGACATTTTGTAAAATAAAAAATTTAAAAAAATTCTATGTATTGTGGACGTGACATTTATGTAGCGATGACATGTCAGCCACGTCACCGCCACATCAGCAATGACAGGTCAGTGTGGCAAGTCCGGCACCAGAGGACTATTTTAGCGAATTTTTTTTTACTTACGGGACTATTTTCAGACATAGTCAACTTAAAGTTCTAAAATGATAAATGAGTCGGATACATGACTAAAAGAACAGTTTATCCAAAAAAATAATCATAAGTTCCGTAAGAAATGATTGTGGCACGGTCATGACTTCAAATCCCGACATCTCCAAATTTTGTCTAACCATGTAACATATCTTATCTTCGACATTTATCAACTAATTTAGATTTTATTTTTATTTGATAAAGTCCTACGTTATATGCAAAAGTATTGTTTGTAATTATTTTTTTTTCTAATTTAAATTTTTTTTGCCGTAATATAGTAATTTATTAAATTTCAATAAGTTCATTCTTTTCCAAAGAAAGTTTATCAGGATTGATTTCTTAAAAAATTTATTTATAATACTACTTGTTTTTTAAGAAATTTGATTTGTATTCAACATTTTTATTTGTTTCAATTTTCTTTCGATATTTTGTATTTTTAAAACTGAAAGGTTTGTCATGCTTCATAGATGCATTTAATTTATTAGAACTTTATATTTGTTCTTCTCGGATATGAATTTTAGCCGGTGCATGTTATATGGCGACTATGTTGATATAAAAAATTAATCAAGTAATTTATTTACAATTCTCTAGCACAGTTCTCTTTTTAATGTCACGAAATATAACTCATTAAAGTGACAATAAACAAATTACGTTATAAACAAATCACCAGCTAATAGTTCAATATATTTTGTAATAGATAATGACTTGTATCTGACATATATCCCAAAATTTCGTTCGGAATTCATTTTTATGCGTTGAGACGACACAATTGACACATAAATTGTGTACAAATATATATATATATATATACAAATATGAAATATTAGACATTTCATTGTACACTAATTGTATCAAAGAATAACTCTTATAACTTGTCGGTTTAAGTCTGTTAGCGTTGATGCATTTAAAATTGTATTTTTCGAATAAAATATAAAAAATTTAGATTTCATTAACATTGTTCTAACAATTAGCTATAATTTTTTTTTTATAATCGATTAAACTAAATCATTTTGAATTTGTACATGTAATACATGATATTTAATATCAATTTCAATATACATGCAATAATATAAAACATTTTAAATAAATATTCACATATATATATATATATTTTATACTCTCTCGTTCCCATATAATTTGTCCCTATTTTTTATTTTCGTCCGTCCCGCATAACTTGTTTTTTCTATTTTTGGAAATATAATTATGCACTTTAATCGCATTTTAAATTTTATAATTTTTTTAATTTTAATTAAACTATTTATTTATCTTAATCTTAATATATAATTATTTTTACTAAATAATAATTATTTTTACTAATACATTTTTTTAATTATTTACTAATTATACTTTACCTAAAATTCGTCTCTACAGTAATACACCCATATTACGAGGAAGCGAAGGAGTAAAAAATATGACAATTAAATCAAATTAACACATTTCTAATTTGACGTAATCATTGCGTCTAAACACACCCAACATTCAACAATTATTTTTTTTTTTTTATAAATAAAAACACTAACGTGAACAAACGCTTATCTTCTTCCTTACTTCAGAGGACTCTCTCAACTCATAATAGTAACACAATATAAACTTACCCCCCATTGGGGTCTACCCCTACCCACCCAACCACCCGGGCCCACCGTCTTACGCTTCTTCTTCAATATGGACTATATAAATTCCTCTCCGATTCAGTCCTCCCTTCTTCTTCCTCACCCATTTCTCAATCCACTCTCTTCTCAGATTCCGACAATCTCCCCAATCCATGGCGGTCACCAACGGATCCAGCACCAATGGCCTCATCGTCAGTTTCGGCGAGATGCTGATCGACTTCGTCCCCACCGCCTCCGGCGTCTCTCTCGCCGAGGCGCCTGGTTTTCTCAAGGCTCCCGGCGGCGCTCCGGCCAACGTCGCCATCGCCGTCGCCAGGCTCGGCGGAAAATCCGCGTTCATCGGAAAACTCGGTGACGACGAGTTCGGCCGCATGCTCGCCGGGATCTTAACGGAGAACGGCGTCTCCGCCGACGGCGTTAACTTCGATAAAGGCGCCCGGACGGCGCTCGCGTTCGTGACCCTACGCGCCGACGGCGAGCGTGAGTTCATGTTCTACCGCAACCCCAGCGCCGACATGCTCCTCACCCCCGACGAGCTCAACCTCGAACTCATCAGATCTGTAAGTCCTCTTTCAATCTGAATCATTTCCACATCCGCCGATCGCCGCCGCATGTCCGAATCGAAATCCAAATCCATACTTGGATTAATTTATTTTTAACAAACCCTCGATTTTGATTTCTTCCCCCTTTTCTGCAACTACCAGTGTTTCCTTTCCCCCTTCCAATTGTACGGTTTGAGTGAATCTCACGCGCTTTAGGTAATTCTAATTTGACTTTTAATCCATATTTGGGGTCAAATTTCTTCACTTAGATTGGCTGATGCCTCATCAAATCCAGCGAGGACCGGGCCCCACAACCACGCCATTGATGATTACATTCAAGGATCGTAACAGAATTTGCATAAAGTTTCTCTTCTTATTTTCTTCTTTAAATTTGAAAACTAATTCTGTTATCAGGTCGAAAGATTCTGCTCTAAATCCCAAACCCTAATTTCTTGAAAGAATACTTTTCATCTATGCTTTTCATCACCATATTTATCAGTTCTTGGAACTGCTGCTTGCTGTTTTTCTGTGAAAGTTTTCTTCGATATTCGAAAGCGATAGCATTGAGGACTTTTGTATTTTCAAAAAAATCAATTAATTAATTTTTTTTTAAATGTTCAATGAATCGAATCACCTGACGTAGAAGGCAGTAGTTGTATTTATTGCATTCGGTGTATTTATTTTATTTTATTATTATTATTATTATTATTATTACAACTGTGGACCACATTTTAGTATTCTGGTATCTCTGTGTGGGATTAGAATATGTTCGTATTCGATTGTTTTTATTATTTTTATTTGTTTTGTCAACTAGCATGAAAAGGGCTTCTGATATTTTGTAGTATAAAGATTGATGAGATGAGATATGATATTTTGGGGGCATACATAAGTGCCTTTCGATTTTGGAGTAATGTTTTGTTGCTTATTGCCTTTTTGTTTCTTTATGCATCATTGTGTTTTTGTCTTCAATTTAAATAGAGATAATCTTGGCCGATTATAGGGTGTATTTCTTCGCGATTTCGACGTTATTGGCAATATATATACTTTTGTATTTATAGTATTATGTGAAGACCCTTTATTGCGTTTAGATATCTTTTGGGAGTGTTTTGAAAATTTTGGATGGTTTGGGAATCGGAAAAAGTTAAATAGAAAAATGTTTCTTTAGATGGGTTTGGAAAAAATTTGGTTTGATTTTGGTATTAAAATAATGTATGATTGGATGTTTTGTGAGAGGAGAAAATATATTTTTTAAAAAAAGCGCAGAGAAAAATTTGGAGTTTGGGGCAAAAGAAATGTACCCTTTGTTTGTTTGAGGGTTTGGATTTTGAGTTGGAATTTGAATATTAAAAGTTTTGAATTGTAATAGTTGTATGATTTGAAATAAATAGGTGTTAATGTGATGTTTTGAATGTAAAATTAATTTTTAGTATAATATAAAAGATAATAAATAGGTGTTTGATTTGATGTTTTTGCGGGAAAAAAATTTGGATGAATAGTAGGATTTTACCAAAATCCTTCAAGAGAACACACCCTTAGTGACTGATCTGTTTAAAAGTTTTTGAACCCAAAACATCAAAAATTTTCCAAAGCACAAACAAACGTCATATATATATATTTTGATCGGGATTCAAGAAAGGTTTGAAAATTTTTTGATTTTGATGTGTGTGTGTGTAGGCGAAAGTGTTCCATTACGGATCGATAAGTTTGATAGTGGAGCCGTGTAGATCGGCCCACTTGAAGGCGATGGAAGTGGCGAAGGAAGCCGGGGCGTTGCTGTCGTATGACCCCAACCTGCGGCTTCCTCTCTGGCCGTCAGCCGAGTACGCCAAGGAGCAAATCATGAGCATATGGGAAAAGGCTGATGTCATAAAGGTGAGCGACGAAGAGTTGGTATTCCTGACGGGAAGCAGCAAGGTCGATGACGAGGATGCTATGTCCTTGTGGCACGACAAGCTGAAGCTCTTATTGGTCACTCTCGGAGCAAAGGGCTGCCGGTATTATACTAAGGTATGCGTTCAATCGCCATTTCCATTGATTACTTTATACAAATTTTTTGATATCGTATTGGCCGTTAAGGCCATCTTCAATGGATCGCCTTTTTTGATGCAATTACTGCATATATAGAGTTTTTGCACTCCAATGAAACGCTATTTTTGATACAAAAAATGGTGTTTGCTACAGTGCAACAATGCCGGCTTGTTATTATTATTTTTTTTCCTAAATTTTTTTTACATATTAATTCTTTTATTTATTATTTATTATTTATTATTTATTTTTAATTTTTTTTAAAAATATAATATTAATTGTAGATATAAAAAGTAGTTTGAAATAATACTCCCTTTGTCTCTGTCTGTCTTTTTCATTATAAACCAATGTATTATTTGTGCAAAAAGCAAATGTTACTATTTTTGCGGGACGGAGGTAGTATTTAAAATGAAATATTTTGAAAAATATTATTTTTGGAATAAAAAATAAAAAATAGAGTTGTGGGTTAGAGTAAAAATACTGTAACAATTGCATTTTTTAATTAAAACAGTATAAATTGAACTTGTGGGTTGAAGATGGTCTAAATGTCACTTTACCGGGACTTGAGTTTGTTTTTAGAGTAGAAGGTTTTAATATTATGACTTGATTGGGCGCAGCACTTCCGTGGAACGGTGGGTGGCTATCATGTCGAAACGGTTGATACAACTGGCGCCGGCGACTCTTTTGTCGGCGCTCTTCTTGGAAAGATCGTCGACGACCATTCCATCCTCGAGGTATTTTTTTTTTTTTAAAAAAAATATTAATGGCTAGGGACTTATGACTTGTGGTTGTAGGACGAGGCCCGGTTGAAGGCGGTGTTGGAATATGCGTGCGCGTGCGGAGCCATAACGACGACGAAGAAAGGGGCGATCCCGGCCCTCCCGACGCACTCCCAAGTCGCGGCCCTTCTCGACGCCCCGAAATGAACATTTATCATATATACATACCTTAATTTTTCTTTGCTTTGTTTGATAATTTCGAAGGTTTTGACGTTGAGGTGCATATTTATGTGCACTTTTGTTGCCCGAAGATCTTATTTTCTATAAGTTGGGTTGGGTTGGGTTGGGAGTAATAAATCAATCAAAGATGAACTTGCCTCTCTATTTGGGCATATATGATAGTGATCTTTGTTCTTTCTTTTTCCAATTTTGTATTGTTCACTCAATAATTGACAATCTCATAAAATAATTGACGGATATGAGAAATAGTCTATGGGTAACTTATATAGACATGCTTTTATGTTAGGCATGGATATTGGTGTAGGTATTATAAAAAAAATATGAGTGATTGTTTAGTGTTTTACTTGCATATATTTATTTATTTAGTTGTGTGAAATATGATCGAAAAAAAAATATTTGGTAATTAAACATCGATTTTTTATAATAGAAAATATATACTCTTTTTGTCCCATAACAAAATATTTATTTTTTCATTTTAGTCCGTCCTATAACAAAATATCTATTTTTTCAATTTAGTCCGTCCCATAACAAAGTATCTTTTTTTTTAGTAATTGTACTATCTACCTAACATTACAAATACCTTTACAACTTATAATATATTACACAAATGACATTATTTTTATATCACATATACTAATAAGGTTATTTTAGTCGTTTATACTTTATTCCTACTATATCTCAATATAATACTAATATTTTTAAAATTACGTGCAAAAAGCAAATAGATACTTCTTTATGGGACGGAGAGAGTACATGTATACATATATTATATTGGGAATTTTTTTAGAATATTATATATTGTATTAATGTGTTTATATATTGTAATTTTGATAATATTTAAGAAAATTGTGACATTTAAAAGATTTTTTTTTTTTTTAGTTTTGTAACTTTCTTTATCATTCTGGATTAAAATAGTTTTGTAAGTGATTTTGTTTTTGACATATTTAGTCTTCCGATGCCGAAAGGCCTGCGTGTCATCTTGGAGGACACATGTCCCCATGGAATATTACTTTTCGAAAAAAAGATTGTTTTTTAATTTCATAATTGAAGATTGCATAAAAATTTTGGCAAATTTATATTTCCTCAATTATTTAACAATCTATCTATTTTTTCATTTTGGTTCGCCCCGTAACAAAATATTTATTTTTTTTTTAGTAATTATATTATCTACCTAACATTACAAATACCCTTCCAAATTACAATATATTACACAAATATCGTTACTTTTATATCATACAATACTAATAGAGTTAATTTAGTCTTTTTACTATTATTTTTACTTTATCCATAATATTATACTAATATTTCTAAAATTTTGTGTAAAAAATAAATTGATATATAAATATGAGACGAAAGGAGTATAACTTTTGTGTTAAAATAATGCATAGAATTTTCATATTTGTCCGTAGAGTAAAATTCTTTGTACGTATATATATTTTTTTGTAATACATTATGGAGTAAAACTTGTACCAGTTAATTTTATATATTTATATTACAATTTATGCATCACACACACAGATATAATATATATATATATTTATATATATATTAGCCACTGAAAATAATAATTTTAGGAATCACAACCATTTTCTCTTAGGGACACATATACATTTCTCTTGAAATTAATAATTACATATTTCAAATTTCCTTTACTTTTTCTTTTCTCATCAGTTCCTACATTAGGTAACATCGATGTATAACTTTATAATTAACGATTTTAATTTTATCTTCATGTTTCACTCTATCTTATTCCTCTATTTAACCAAAATTCATTCTCCGATAAAATCTTAAAAAGAGTTTTTAAAACAGTGAAAACAACATTAAATTTAATTTATTTTCTTACATAATTCCAATTGTTATTAATAAGAATATGCCTCTTAAAATTTGTCATTTCTACAATTTTACTTTACAATATAATTATTTTGGTCATGCATACAGCGACGAACCCACGTGGAGACTTGGGTCAACCCCCTTTAATTTTTGTAATTTGTTAAAATTCATAATTCTAAAATTTTATATTATTTACTTGTGCTTAAAAAATATTACAAAAAACACAATCATTGTTAGTACTTAAACAAGATTGTAAGACACATGTTTAAACCGAGAGTGGTATTACAAAATTATGTATAACATGAGATGAAAGTCACAAAAATACTCTCTTGGTATTAATAAAACTACTTTCCTCTTCTTCACCCTCTTCCTCTGTTCCTGGCTTGTCCTTAGCTCCAGTCTATGGAAAGCATATGGGAATTCTATTTTCATCTTCTTTTTTTACAGCATATCGCTTCCCATCCTGAAAAACTCATCGAACAAATAGGTCTTCACCTTCTCCAACAATATCATATCTTTACATCTCATCAGAGCCTTAAAAAATGGCTGCAAACCCGCGTTCACAACCTCCATCCTTTTTGGTTAAACTCTTGTAGATCAAGTGGTGAGACATCTGTAGTATGACGGCGAGATCTTGAGTTCGATCCCGGGTGGATACGTGTGTGGGTAAAAAAAACACTAGAGAAAAACCCTCTATCCTTTCCGGAAAACCGCCGATGGCTGATGGAGAATTTGAAAATTAGGGATAGGGATTTGATTTTGAAAATTAAGGTTAGACATTTTATTTTGATTTGGGCATGAAGACTAGAATCACAACTTCTTGCAACAATAGCAAGTGCTTCTATATTTTTATTGACTTATATATATTTTTTAGTTTTCTTTTTTAAGTTGGACTAGAGATCTATTTAAAGTTAAAACATTGATGGGGATTTCAATATTGTGGGAACTGTTGTTTTGTTGCAGTAGGTTATGGTATTAGTGAAGATTGTAGCTTTTGTAATGCTCTAGTTATATTTGGTGGTAATTGTTAGAGTTTTAAGGGTATATTTTGGTTGAGGACATGTTGGTAGTGGGGTTGTGAAATGTGTTGAGAAGTGATTTGTTGGTGTGACTATCGGTGGTAATTGTTTATTTGTATATTCAACAGTGAGATGAATGACGTCACCACCAACGGTTCCTCTCGCGCTCCTTCGACCGTTTTACGCTCCCAAATTAAGGGTGGGTCGGAGATGGTGGTGGCGAGGGAGGGTGGCTCCGCCGGAAAGAGGGGTTGGTGAAGAAGCCTCCGGTCAGCAGTGGCGGTGGTGAGGAAGATGACAATGGAAGATGGTGCATAAAAACACGTCATTAGGTCTGAGTTTAGGGTTTGGTAGAAGAAATATCACAAATTGGGGTGTAATTGTTTTTACTACTCCCCAAATATTTTATATATAAAACACTCATTATGGGCATAACGGTCCATTATAACTAGAATGTAACACCGTCAGTTATGTTGGCAATGAATTTTCTTATTGCTATTTTAGTTGATGTTTTCATGTGGCCAGACATGTTTGCAGGTGGGTCAGACAGCACACAAACTGCGGGTCTGCATTCACGACCCCAAATTCAAGAAGGTGGTCCAACTGTTAATTGATCCAATTCAATTTTCGGTGGAGTCCCAGTTCAAAAGAAGAACCGCAGAAGCTGGTTCCCTCCCCGCTAAGTGGATGAAATTGATTGAAATCCATTGTAACAAACTTTGGGTGATGAGAGATAGTGTGAATTTGTTAGAAGAATATTCAAGATGAAAAATACAAGTAAGAAGATATACAACAAAGAAGAAAAAAATTTGAGTTGGGCGAGTGAAAAATTGAGAGAAAAAGTGAGTGCAAAAATCAACTTCATGAGATAAAAATATAGTAGACAATATTGGGTGTATGGATGGCTAGTTGAGCAACATTAGGAAGAAAATGTGTTGCTCTTAAGGTAGCATCAAATATAGTCCTATTTGTAAGTTGATTTGATCTTTATTGAGTGTGATAATACATGGATTGGAGACCTCAGATGTAGGTCATGTTTGACTGAACTGGGTTATCAATTTCGTGTATTTCATTTTTCAACTTACAGAGTTTGCATGTTGTTTGATCGTCTCATAAATTGTCTATATAAATCTGCTTGCATTGTGTTTGTATTGTTATATTATTTCTATTTGATTAAGTAAATTTCGGGACCAATAATTGGTATCAGAGCATCATCTTTAACATATTACCGAAAAATTATCCAAAATATGCGAGAGAAGAGAACTAAATAGTTCATCCAGAAATTTGCCCAAAAATTTGATTCGAAGTTAATTCATGCGATGGACAAACAATCTGAAAATACTGAACAAAAATATGTTGATAAATCAATGAGACAACAAAAAAAATCGAAAAGAAAAATTTAAAGTTAGCAGCAAAGAGGATGTTGTTACTTTCACCTTACAAATATTGAAAAGCTTAAAGAAAATAATGACAACAACAACATTGTCAAGATGGAAAAGAACTGTTGATTTTCGTAAATGAATACCCAAGGGCCGTCTGGGAAGATTGAAAGCCAAAAAGGACCTGTTGATCGATGAAAACACGAAGCTAAAAGTCATGAATGGTGAGATGTGTGTTGAGCATGAGAAAATCTTTGACGAGGCTGCTTATTTAAGAAAGAAATTTAAAGATGTTGAATATTAAAATAAGAAACTCGTGGATGAAAATAATAGGCTGCTGAAACGGAATTCAAACTTGATAAAGTCTCATCAATTGTGAAAACATACTATTGAAACGTGACTTGGATTTAGCGGTCTACCCGACCTGAAACCAAAGTGAAAAGGTTGTTTCAATTGGCAGGGTTCCTTTTGGGCTTATCCTAATTAATAAAAAATAGGCTTAAAGTTTAGGGTGTTTTGGGGTGCTTATAAATAGATAGCTATGGTTCCTAGTCGTAGACATAATTGTAACTCTCTGAATCACTATAATAAAATCTCTCTGGTTCCTGCTCGTGGACGTAGGTTGACATACTGTCACCGAACCACGTAAAACCTTTGTATTCTTTATTTGCTTTATTTCTCGTTTTCTCATAACAAGTGGTATCAGAGCCATATCTGATTGATTGAAGATGTCCTCGTATAAGTTTGATCTGGAGAATTTTAATGGGTCGAATGACTTTACGCTCTGGAAGCTCAAGATGAGGGCACTTCTGGTTCAACAAGGATGTGCGGCTGCGTTGGAGAGAGAATACAAGTTTCCTAAAGACTCGAATGAGGAAATAAATAAGAAGATTTTGGATAGAGCTCATTCCGCGATCTTGCTGTCAGT